TTCGGAAAAGTAGGGAAATGAAATGTAGGACTAATGTGAAATCTACGTAAATTTGATCACAGGGCATTGATGAACCGAATTCGATTAACATTTCAGTTTTATCGCGACAGTCGGAGATAGGGAGATATGCGCGATTGTTTAAATTGAAGCAAAGTCGATACTTTGAAAGCCTATTTGGGGGAATTTCTGAAGGGACATTGGCGGCGTGACACGATTTCGATATTCGACGGAATTCTGTTTCTCTGGGTTCTCGAGGAAACGGGCCTATTTGTTAGCGACCTGCTTTTGGGGAACTTCTATCTTCGCCTCCGCGAACTGACCTCTTTCGTCCGTGCAAGCAGGTCTTAAAGTCGACGTTGCATTGTTTTCGCGAGTGCAATTACTCGTACCTCTGCGCGGCAAGAGGCCACCAGCCCAAAAAAAACTCAAAAGCGACCCCGAGCATGAAGTCTCGATATTTTAGACGAGTCGAAACTAATGACCAAACTAATGGCCCAAGCCGGAGTCGCATCAATTCGTGACGTCGGCTGGATTTATTTTCAACCCCCTGCCAATGAAAGTTTGACATTGACAAAAGTCTGAAAGAATGTCGTCAAGGCTACGTGTCTCAGAAATTCGATTTTGCAAACTAAATCTGTTCTAGCGACCTACCGGAATAAGAAAATTTATATTGAAAATGGTAATATCTCAGTTTGGTTCAGCAGGATTAAATCCTCTTGTCTGAAAATTCGTTCAATGCTTTTTGCAGACTAAATCTGTCCTAGCGACCTACTGGAATAAGAAAATTTATATTGAAAATGGTAATATCTCAGTTTGGTTCAGCAGGATTAAATCCTCTTGTTGGAAAATTCGTTCAATGCTTTGCAGACTAAATCTGTTCAAGCGACCTACTGGAATAAGAAAATTTATATTGAAAATGGTAATATCGCAGTTTGGTTCAGCAGGATGAAATCCTCTTGTCTGAACATTTATCGAATGTTCAATGCTTTTCGCAAATCGTAAGTCCCTCAACTTGCGTAAAAAATCACAATCCCTTGACATTTATCTAACATAATAAATTACCTTCATTTTAAAATTCACGCTGGTCTTCCAAAAATACAGCACGTGTAAGGAACTTTTTGAACTCTCACCATATTGTGCAGTTTTCAACTTGCCTTGATAAGTAGTAAAAAAAACTTTGATTTAAAAAGAAAACGACCTTAGTAGAAGAATTCATTTGCATATTGTCTTATAGCTCGCATCCCGTTGGTACACGACTTCGAATATAATTACACGCACATATCCGCCACGTGAAGACCCAAAACGGTAAGACTAAAAAAACGACGTTATCGGCATTTCCTAAAAAGTCTCGTTATTCCCGAGGAGCACTGGCTTGGAACCATTGATACTCCGTTTTCGAAATGGTTTCCATTTCCAGGCATCGAAAAATGAGGATATTACCTGCGGACCGTGAATCGGGATTTCGAACTCCCCGAAACGCGGATTTCAATACGCGAAAAAGAGACATAAAGAAAGACAAAAGAAAAAGGAAAGAAGATTTGCGGTCGGAGCCAGCTTCCATTTCCTCTGAAAAATCGCATCATCTTCGCCGTGAATAGTGAAACCCGTTATTGCAGGTGAAAATTCCCAAGGGGGAAAGTGAATTATCGGAGAGAAAATTATATTACAAGAAAGTGGAAAAATCAATTTATTGCGAAATGGAAGAAAGTTACTTCACAAGGTGAAAGCTGTGTCGAAGGTGTTCGACGTTGTTCCGCATTTTAAATAAAGGGAGCAACAAAGCGGCTCTCGGATCCGTTGGATTTCTCTAAACTCTGGTTTATAGAGAATCGAAAGCAAATGGGAAATTATTTAATTAGCAATTATTATATCACTGACAAAACAGAGGGCTCCGAAATTAATGCGAAATTGAATTGCGGAGAGCCTCGACGTAGGATCTGCTCTACAATTTTCCCGTCTCGGATTTTCATCTTGAAAAGCTCGCGGATAAGGACAATAAAGATGGACTCAAACTCCATTTCAAGCTCTCATTATCTGAACTGTAAGGATTTTCTCCCCTTGGAGAAAAGAGGATTGAAAGAAGATTAAACGAGGACGAAAATCTGGAAAGTGGAAAAGAAACGGTCTTAACTTTGGCTATCTTAATTTCCTGAAAAACCGCTCCGAATCTTTTAACACTTCTAAGGGAAACTTGTAACTTAGCGGCCGGATCAAGTTTCAATAAAGGATGATTAGAAAGAAAGTTTAAACATTATCTAGTTCAGGAATTCAAGTAAAATTCCCGATCTCTGTACCTCGCAAACTATTACAAAAAACGATGCAATTTATGACGTGTCATTTGTGTACTTTTGAATTGCAAACAAGTTCTTTATTTAATCCGCATCTAAATATAATAATATTGATCACTCAATACACGGAATAATTTAAATCTATTCGAGAAATATTTTCGCAGTTGGCTGGACTTAATTAATACGTGGTGAAGGAGAAATCCATTTAAGGTGGAAATATATTCATTAGTACAAATCAGCTGTCTGTATGACATACATATAAACAGACGGATAACTCGAAGGGGTTCGATGAACATTCCTGGAATCGATTCTCTCTAATTTATTGGCCATTGAGAGGGTATTAGGATTAACGCCATTAGAAACTGGAGCAGACGACAAGTAGTCAGATTTGGAAACAGCCCTAATCTAAAACTCTATTCAACCGGTCCGTATTTAATTAATTAATATTCATGAGGATTTCGAGGGCACTTCTCCATTGACGATTGCCCTTCCATACGACCTTCAATCGACGCCATAATTTATCGACTAAATTCAAATCCCTCTCCTCGATTATTCCTAAATAAAGAGTGTCTCGACACTTTCCCGAAAGTGCTTACGAATTCTCACGAGAGTCAAGACTCGAATTAACGATCACCGCGGTAATGAAAACCCGTAATTTTATACACGAAACTACTTTTCTATTAATAAAGACGAATCGCAGGTGATGCGAATTAATAAATTTTGTATCCAAACGATTATCCATGCTTTCCGCAACCGTCGAGACGTGATCATCAAGTTAGAAATTAAGTAGTTATCACTGTAAAGAAATTTTGTTTCATACAAAAGCCGAAACATGTCTCGTCTAATTTCCCTTACTCTAAAAAATGGGGATAATTTCATTGAAATAAAGTAATTACCTTACCCTAGAGATTATACACGAAATATGGGGTAGTTTAACCCTTCAAAATGGTTCGATAAAAAAACCTCAGAGTGTATTTCTATACACATATCACCAGAAATATTTCATTCAAATTGGTAGTGTACTTCTATGCGTGTATTTCTGTATACAAGTCAGCAGGAAAATTTCATACAAATCGGTGAAGTACTTAGATGCGAAGCTGCAAAATCACAGGACAGGTATTCACGTTCCGCACGCAACAAAATGAAAGAGCGATGAAAAAAAAACGAAAATACGAAGATTACGGTAATGACGAATTTCCCAAGCGATAACTTTAATCAAGTCGTCGTAGAAACGGTTCGACTTATCAACGGTTGCGAAAGGTAGGACCGGTTGAATAGCAAATTAACTCGGACCTTCGAGGTAACGTGCAATTTCTTAAAGTCCAAAGGGAATTCATCAGTGCCTTGTAAACTGTTACGAGAATTCTACCCTCCTTTGTTTTGTATTCTCCCTTAAAATGTATCATTGGAAAATTTGCGAGAAACCCCCGAGTTCTTATTAGATATTAGCACTGTTTGCTCTTTTTAAAAATCGTTGTTCGTTGTCATTCATTGTCACGAAGAACAACTGTTAAACACTTAGGTTTGAGGTAAGAAAAGAGAAGGATTAAAAATGACAATCTTTCCTTAAACGAAAGTTATACAAATTATTAATGCGCTTTTCATATATGAATTTCTGAAGCTGTTCTTTAACATTATTATAGGTATTATCCCTACTAGGGATTTATCCCTTCTCTCTATCTCTTGTTATGTAATATTAGGGAGCATTAAATTATCTCGCAAGACATGCAGCAAGTACAGCTGAAACCGCAAGGACTTTGTATTTCGCAATAGCGGTCGCTCGATGAATTGTTGCAAACATACATGTACGTACATAACGTCATGTTTGTCGGTCACGTAAATATACGTACAAGCACGTACTAGTTACAACCCAGGAGCACTTTGCATCCGTATACTTAGCCTGAGATTGCTTTACCTTCGGTATGCAAAGGGATTCGCCACGAAATGGCCATCAAGGAGAATAGTAATGACAATGACAATGTTCCTAACTCCAGAAGGAAAAAATCGATCCGATAACTTCGCTCTAAATATAGGAAAGATATGAATTCATCGATCGCGCCATGAAACGGTCAAGAAGAAAAATGCCGGTAAAGGACAATCGATCATTATTAAATCTAGAACAGTGAAACGAATACGATTGTTTTGATCTAAACGTTAAAAAGAAATTTATTATTCGTTGACTTCATTATATAGTAGATATCAAGGCACTATCATAAATATAGGAAAGATATGAATTCATCGATCGCACCATGAAACGGTTAAGAAGAAAAATGCCGGTAAAGGACAATCGATCATTACTAAATCTAGAATAGTGAAATTAATACGATTGTTTTGATCTAAACGTTAAAAAGAAATTCATTATTCGTTGACTTCATTATATAGTAGATATCAAGGCAGATGATGACAGTCTTCGAGTCTATCGTCAATGACAGGGTTCAGGACAATCGGTCATTTCTGAATTCGGAGCGACTAAATTAACGCGATAGCTATATTCCAAATTGTTAGGAAGAAATGAATTCTTCGCGCAACACGAGGCGATTATCAAGAGGAATAATTACGGTCTTCGGGCTATCTGTCGTCGACAATGTTTCGGACAATCGGTCACTCCTGAATCTGGGTCGGTGAAAGATTTATTTTCAATGTTAGAAGGAAAAGATAATTCTTCCTGAAGCACAATGCGAAACGATTATCAAGAAGAATAACGATGCTCACCAGACTGATTGTCGACGACGATGTTTAAGACAATTGGTTATTTCCAGATGTAGAAAAACGAAATCAATGCGACGGCTTTCCCCAAAATGTCTGAAAAAAAAATTAATTTCTCAGCGAACACGTCACGAAGTAGTTGGTCAAAGCAAACAGCGACAACCTTTGAGCATACTTTCAATGACAGTGCCTAAAAAGATTGCGTATACTTTTAAGCGGTAATTGTTAAAGTTTCGTCAAAGTTAAACTGACATTCCTTGCAAAATGTAAATACATATATAACATGTTCCCGTCTATTTTCTTGCAATCCAATTCGGCTCTTTCAAAACGATAGGACTATGACTGCTCAAAAACTGAAGAAAAAAAAACAGAAAGATATCATTGCGCACCATTTGACGAAAAAAGAACTCGACGTAACACCTTGCAAGGGTTGAAAGTGGCGCCAAAGAGTTTTCGTTCATGAAACTTTTCTCCAAACTGGGCGCACCGAATCGACGCAAACATTACAATATAAATATAGAGGGTACAAGGAAGGTCCTGAAACTTAAGAAATTTTAATTGCTTAAAAAATTTGTTGATGGATCTGTTAAAAATTTATTATAAAAAAAAAAATGAAATTTCACGTGGGTCAGGACCTTCCTTGTAGCTTCCACATCCACGTTGTAAAGATTGAAACGATTCGGCACACCCAGTTCGAAGAAAAGCTTCATGAACAATAGTCTCTTCGGATGGCACTATCATATCCGCTTAAAAATAAAATATCTCCGTACTCTGATTTATCTATTTCCGTAAAGAGGCCCATTTTGGTTAAAGAAAACCGCCATTCGCTCGGGGGAATGCGAGGCGAAGCGAGACGGTATAGGGGAGAATTTCGCGTAATTGGGCCACCGCAAGTACGTGGACGCAGGTGATGACAGGACTTATCGGTTTATCACGGGGAATCCCAGTGATCTCAATTCTCTCGAAATCCTGGAATCCTGAACTCGTCGACCCCCTGTGCGATTTACCTGTCAGCGCACCTGTCGCGCCAATTTCGATGCACCTGCGGGATTCACCGCATAGGACGTGCACCTCGGGTGCATCGGTACCCTGAAGAAGTAGAGTAAGCACGGGATTCGTGGAAAGCGAGGATCGATATGCCATTCCATTTTCCATCCATCGACCGATCCCCGAGTGGCCCGCGGAAATCGAGTTCATTATTAAAAAACAAAAAGGGGAGGAAGGGAAACAATGCCCCCTCGGCTCAAGTAAGTACGTTGAATTAAAGGGGTCCCAGGTGATTTCTTTGACCTGGCGAACCTGGCAAGAATAGTACTTTGGATTTGATTAAGTATATACAGAGCATATACGTATGTACAGAATGTTTCTATGCCAATTATCCAGATTTTGAAAGTGTCAATGTTTCCGGCGGTTCGGTCCAATAAACTTAGAAAAAAAGTGTCTTACTCGAATCGACCGATTTGAGGGGGGGTCTCACTTCACATCGAGTTCATTATTAAGAAACAAAAAGGGGAGGAAGGGAAACAATGCCCCCTCGGCTCGAGTAAGTACGTTGAATTAAAGGGGTCCCAGGTGATTTCTTTAACCTGGCGAACCTGGCAAGAATAGTACTTTGGATTTGATTAAGTATATACAAAGCATATACGTATGTACAGAATGTTTCTATGCCAATTATCCAGATTTTAAAAATGTCAGGGTAATTCCTAGGTGCTCACGAGTCATGTGTCAATGTTTCAGGCGGTTCGATCCAATACCCTTAGAAAAAAAGTGTCTTACTCGAATCGACCGATTTGAGGGGGGTCTCACTTCATCTTAATGGTACCCCTCGGTGAAACTATAGGTACAGAAGTATGCCGCAAGTCTCCTTCTCATCCGAGTCGTGGAGAGCATTAAAATGCATAGAGCCCGGTCGGGTGCAACGGAGGGTCGAACCTTCGACGGGGACAAACTCCACAGCCAACCTCGACTTTCTTGCCGACTCTCTCCTTCCGGTTTTCTCGTATTCCAGTTTTGAACGATATTACCGTAGCTGCTGCAAGGACAAAAGTCCTTCTGCGCGACATGATTTGCAGGACACGAGTGGCAAACTACCCCGTCGAGCACACTCGGGAGTTTCGCTATTAAAACTTTGCAAAACCACAACTCGCCTCGAGTTAGGACGACCTGAGAGAAGACGAAAGAGAGGGAAAGAGAAAGTCGGAGATGCGAAATTCCGAATTCCGCTCGGATATTACCGGGAAATGGGACTAATATCTGTACTATCGAGAAGTCTCGCTTTCCTTTCCTCGCTCGGTGAAGGAGGACACGGAATGCCCGGAGAATGTAATTGGGAGAGCACGTAGATGCAGAACAATGTTTGATCGAAGCAATTAAAATTTTTCTTAGTTCAACCGTAGAGAACAGATATTTATAAGCATTAAATTCCACTTGTATCGCGCACGCGATAAATCATAGAGACATTGGGTCCTCGGTTTATATATAGACATACTCGGTTTCACATATCCCACCTCTTTCCAAATATTCCAAAATTTAAACAGCCGTTCAATGAGAGCATCGCTATATATATATATCCGATTAGTTTCCATTCGACAACTTCGGAGATTCTGGGGGAGTAAAATCCCCAGCTATACAATGACCTGGTAAGCAAGTTTCCGCGAGAAATACGCAGCTGGATGTGCACGTAATGCCACCTCGGCAGAGAAACTGCAATTCTAGCCAAGTGCGGATTTCGGCCGCTGTTGGCGTTAATTAAGTGAGAGAACGTCAATGTTTTTGCGCTTTGATGCGAATCTTTCACCCGATTCCACATCGCGAAACTTCGAATTCCGATAATAACCTGATCCGTCAGTCTCCGCAAATAGTAAGAAAAAATGTAGAGCAAAAGCGTCCAGCTACAAACGATCCACGACGGCATACATGTACAAACAATTATACTTATTGAAACATTGAACTTTAGATTTTTTTAAACCAGTAGATATATAGAAGTCTCCAAGTCATTTTTCAGGATTTCCTGTTCGACTCAATAATACACGTGAGAAAGATCGAAGACAAAATCGGTTAACCCTTTGCGGACGAGACTTTTCCTTTATAAAGGCTTTTGTGCGGCTATTTGCCGACGCTCCTCCGCAAGGGGCTAAAAGTTAGAATGTAATTTTCTGCAACTACCAATACTTTCGTATGTTGCCTTCTCTCCATCTAGCTTTTGGACACGGATTAGTATGGAGTAAAATGTAAAATGAATTTTCACTACTACTCCAATTGTGGTAACTGTGTCAACGGCAGATTGTAAGCGTAGGGGGACAGCGGTTTTCAAAAGTTATAATTACTCTGCTGGAAATGTAAAACGTGTAATGTGTAATCTGACTAAAATATGGATTGCAGGGTGGAATAAAATAGTCGCAGGTACAAAAATTCGGCATTAACGTTTACAGCCCTGATTACCAGATTTGGCCCATACGGATATTTAATAGTTACCATTTTATGCCCTTACTAATAGTTTTCGATTGTACCGTGTATTGAAAAGCTATTTACTAAAACATGCAATCACGTTGCAACGGTAAAAGTTAATTATGTAATCACTGAATAATAAACGTCTTGACGATCCGCACTACTCACAAGGAAACATTCCCAAGTGTCCGCCTCCGATCTTATTGAGTTTCATATATGTTGAAGAACACAAAAATCTAAGAGACACGTGTTGTTTTATATCTGCAATAGTCCACATTTAAGGGGTGAAACAACCCCCCAAAGTTTAGCGAAAAATCGGTTTTTTAAATATTTTTCGTAGGAGCAGTGGAGGGATTTCGACGAAACTTTGCATAAAC